ATTGCATAACTTTCAGCTAGCCAATGTTGAAAAATTAGAAAAAGAATTTGAGACGATTTTTGATGATCCGAAATTTACTAAATGCAAGGAATTACTTGAGATTAATTCCAAGCTTAATTATCAGGTCCAGCACCTGCATAAGGCATCTGATTATTTTTTTAATTCTTTGTTAGAGTATTAAGGAGCAGAATGACTTAATAAACGGATCCCAGCTGAGTATACTTAATGGGCTTATCGCCGCATTTGACATGGCGATCAAATCCGCTTTTCCTGATCTTTCTGGTCACAAAGTTGTTGTAATCCCATCAATCATGAATAATTTTGGGGATTATCAGTGCAATAATGCCCTTTCTTTGTCGAAAGTATACTTTTTTAAAAGTTAATTAAGAAGTTATTAAAAGGGAAACTGTCTCCTTGCGATCCAAAGTCTGTTGCAGAGATAATCGTAAAAGAGTTGAAGCAGACTGATTTTATCTCTAAAGTAATATCGTTTTGAATAATTATTATTTTTCCTGAGATAGAGATTGCTGATCCTGGCTTTATCAATATTTGGATATCTAAGGAATTTATCATCGAAGAACTCTCAAAGGTGGTGAAATTCGGCGTCCTTCCTCCCATTCTTCAATCTAAGAAAAAGATTATCATTGACATGTCTTCCCCAAATATTGCTAAAGAGATGCATGTTGGACACTTAAGATCAACCATAATTGGTGATAGTCTAGCCCGATTACTTTCGTTTTTGGGGCATTCTGTTACTAAATTTAACCATATTGGTGATTGGGGTACTCAATTCGGGATGCTTATTGCTCATCTTCGGGAAAACTTTCCCAATTACACATCTGCTCCTCCACAGATATCGGATCTTCAAACGTTTTATAAAGAGGCGAAGGTTCGCTTTGATGAGGATGAAGACTTCAAACGACGAGCCCATTTCGCGGTCGTAGAGTTACAAAAAGGGGAGGAGAAGTATATTCAAGCTTGGAAGCATATTTGCGACATATCTCGCCAAGGTACTTAAGTGGTTTTTTAGACTTATTCTATATTTGCTTTTTAATGCTCAGTTTTTTCCCGCTAGAGTATGAAAATATGTATCAAAGGTTGAATATTAAAGACCTAATTGAGAGAGGCGAATCATTCTATCAATCGCGAATGGAAGATTTGATCGCTGATCTTACTTCTAAAAACTTACTGATCACTGACGAGGGTCGTCAAATAATGTGGGCTCCAGGTAGCGATGTTCCTTTAACTCTGGTTAAATCCGACGGGGGCTTTACCTATGATACTTCGGATATGGCTGCGCTGCGTTATAGGATTGAGGAAGAGGGTGCGGATTGGCTAATTTATGTAGTTGATCTTGGCCAGGTATGTCGCTTACGTT